CTCAAGCTCCACTTCACCCTTACCTCAGGGCCTCCTTCCTTGTGCCTGATACGGTGTGTACTACTCAGTCTCTCCAACAGCGCAACTTCCTCCCACAGGTCCTGACATGCACACCCACCTGACTAACTGGGAGGCTTTTAACTAGTTTCAGCCAGCCCCTGATTGGTTTCAGGTGTCCCAATCAACCTAGCCTTCTCCCTGCCTTCTGGAAAGTTCTTATTTGGCCCCAGGTGTCTTAAATGACCTGGAGCAGCTGCCATTTCACTTATCCAGCTACCAGGGATTTGTTTATCCTGGAGCTAATATATCTATCTCCCACTACTTTTCTATAGCCATCTGGCCTTGCCCCATCACATCACATAAACACCACCCTATATCGGAAACCTACTGACTGCTATGCCTACCTACATACCTCCAGCTTTCATCCAGACCACACCACACGATCCATTATCTACAGCCAAGCTCTGTGATACAACTGCATTTGCTCCAACCCCTCAGACAGAGACAAACACCTACAAGATCTCTATCAAGCATTCTTACAACTACAATACCCACCTGCTGAAATGTAGAAACAGACTGACAGAGTTAGAAGAGTACCCAGAAGTCACCTACTACAGGACAGGCCCAACAAAGAAAATAACAGAACGCCACTAGCCATCACCTTCAGCCCCCAACTAAAACCTCTCCAGCGCATCATCAAGGATCTACAACCTATCCTGAAGGACGACCCATCACTCTCACAGATCTTGGGAGACAGGCCAGTCCTTGCTTACAGATAGCCTCCCAACCTGAAGCAAGTACTCACCAGCAACCACACAACAGAACCACTAACCCAGGAACCTATCCTTGCAACAAAGCCTGTTGCCAACTGTGTACACATATCTATTCAGGGGACACCATCATAGGGCCTAATCACATCAGCCACACTATCAGAGGCTTGTTCACCTGCACATCTACCAATGTGATATATGCCATCATGTGCCAGCAATGCCCCTCTGCCCTGTACATTGGCCAAACTGGACAGTCTCTACGTAAAAGAATAAATGGACACAAATCAGATGTCAAGAATGATAACATTCAAAAACCAGTCGCAGAACACTTCAATCTCTTTGGTCACTCGATTACAGACCTAAAAGTGGCAATTCTTCAACAAAAAACCTTCAGAAACAGACTCCAACGAGAGACTGCTGAATTGGAATTAATTTGCAAACTAGATACAATTAACTTAGGCTTGAATAAAGACTGGGAGTGGATGGGTCATTACACAAAGTAAAACTATTTCCCTATGTTTATTTCTCCCCGCACACACACACACACACACTGTTCCTCAGACGTTTGTGTCAACTGCTGGAAATGGCCCACCTTGATTATCGCTACAAAAGGTTCCCCGCCCCCTGCCCCGGCTCTCCTGCTGTTTCATGTTCTCTGTGTATATAAATCTCCTCACTGTATTTTCCACTGAATGCATCTGATGAAGTGAGCTGTAGCTCACGAAAGCTTATGCTCAGATAAATTTGTTAGTCTCTAAGGTGTGACAAGTCCTCCTTTTCTTCCCACCTTGGAACATGCTAAAATGTTTGGTTTCACCATTCTACAATCTTGCTAAAGCACTCAGTAATGGTTTTTTTAGTGGCAATCATCTTGATAGCCTAAATGCATTCTGGTTTGCAGAGAAGATGAAAGATAAATTATCTGAGTAAGAAAATTAACTTCTGTGAGCTAGTAAGGATAAAGGAAAACTGTGATTCAATACATGGCCTGTTGTATGTGAGGAATTGTCCTTTAGAGAATATAGAGCCCCAGGAAATTACTTGAAAATTTAAAGCAGAGAACCTTTTTGGGAAGAGTCTTAGCTGAAATGCTCAGAAAAGATGCTTTCTCTGACACTCTAAAAGGCCTAAAGATTAGGCTGCAGACCATGTCTACCTAAGATTCTCAGTTCCTTCATTAAGAGCTCTGTAGTTCCTAATGCTTAGAAGGTCTACCAGAACTATTTACTTTAGAGAGGTTACAGACTCCAGTCCATACACTATGATCTTATAAGCTCTGTAAAACTTCTGAAGAACTTTATAAAGCGTACAAAAATCTGATAGAGTTCTCAGAACTCTAATTTTTCCGAGCAGCTACATTCAAAATATTAACCCCAAACTTATTTTTAAAATAGCTATGTGTACTGGTAATTAATGAATAAAACAAATTTGGAGATATTAATCTTGTATCTCAAAAATGCCTTGTCTAATTAGTTTCAGACTTTGAGAAGAAGTTTTTCTCTGGCTGGAAACCACATATGGAAATTTTATAAAGGAGTAATATTAGACAAAATATCAACAAATTAGAAGAAGGGGTCAAAATCAGCCTTATAATGGGAAATTTCATACAATTTTAACTATGGAGATGCTACTGCTGGATCGATAATTCTGCTATAAACTGGGGGACCATCAGCTAGAAACAATACAGGAGAAGAAAGGTCTGGGTATATTTGGCAATCAGAGGATGACTATAAGCTACCAACATAATGCAGCCATAAAAAAGCAAAAGTGATTCTAGAATGTGTCAGGTGAGGTATTTCCAGAAGAGAGAGGGAAGTATAAATGCCACTGTACAAGGCACAGGTAAGACCTCATCTGGAATACTGTGTACAATTCTGGTCACCCGTGTTCAAGAGAGAGGAATTCAAACTGGACCAGGAGCAGAAAAGGGCTGCTAGGAGGATCAGGGGAATGGGGAGGATGTTTTATGAGAGGAGAATGAAAGAGCTGGCTTGTTTCGCCTAGCAAAATGAAGGCTGAGAGGGGAGATGATTGCTCTCTACAAATACATCTGGGTGATAAACATTATGGGGGGTGAAGTGCTATTTAAGCTAGAAGAAAACGTTGGTGCAAGAACAAATGGGTACAAACTGGCCATGAATAACTTTAAGATGAAAATTAAAAGATGGTTTCTAACCATCAGAGGAAAGAGGTTCTTCCAACAGAAGTAGTGTAGGCAAACATTCTAGTTGTTTTAAAATAGAATTTGATAAATTCATGAATGGGGTTACCTGTCATATAGCATGGAACTGTACAGAGTGACCCAGGAGATCCCTTCCAGTCCTATGTTTCTATAATAATGATAGCCCTTAGCTCCAGATTGTTTTGCAGGTTTTACGTTCCTATATATATAAAAAAATTGCCTCTGAGGTTAACGTCTGTCTGTCTGTCTGAATATGATCTCTTTCAAACTACTTTGTGACTTCCACCCAATACCACTATTTCTATCAGTTATTTTTCTAACACATTACCTATAGTCAGGAAGGTAAGTGACTGCCTCTGGAGCTACTGCCTACTGTTTCAGAGATTGGTTGATAAAGGTCTTTGTGTGAACAGCATTGTAATAACCTCTTCAGAGACACACAAACAACTTATTTGATGCTGTCAGCCTTTGCTTGCCTGGGATCCAGGGTATGTGAATGTATGCTGGACATCAGATTGTAGATCCTTAGTACTTTTTGTTCTTCTGTGTCTTATGTTCTGAAATGAACATATTGAAGAACTGTATTCAGTGCTGTTCTAGCGGTGTTTGTCCCAGGATATTAGAAAGACAAGGTGGGTGAGGTAATATCTTTTATTGGACCAACTTCTGTTGGTGTGAGAGACAAGCTTTTGAGCTTTGAAGAAGAGCTCTCTGTAAGCTCGAAAGCTTGTCTCTCACACCAACAGAAGTTGGTCCAGTAAATGATATAACCTCACCCACCTTGTCTCCCTAGTATCGAAGAATTATCTTTTGGGAACTGAGTGAAATCCTGGTCCGACTGAAGTCAAAAGGAGCTTTGCTATTTTTCACACCATGCAAGATCCTTCTTTCATTATTTTTTTCAGAGCGCGTGGGGTGGAGTTGTTTTTTGTCAGAAGTCATGTCTTGAAGGACAAAAAGGGTATGTTTCATTTGTGTTAGCTCAATCAAGTTAGCTTCACACAATTGAAAAGCCCCATTAAGATGCAGACTAACGCATCTGAAGCCATGTAGTTGCCTAGGGGGGAGGCTAGGCTACAACATGGCCAGCTAACATGGCTTCAGATATGTTAGTGCAAATCTTAATGAGGCTTTTTAATCATGTTAAGATATTGAGCTAACAAGAGTCCAGCACACATCCTTTTTGTCTGTTAAGACAAGGCCAGAGAGCCCTGGACATTTGAATAGGGACTGAACACTGATCTTTTCATTCTGGTGCCACTCTTATTCTCATGCCAACCCTATTCTTCCTCCTAAGGGCAACTGCTAGCTGTAACAACTCTGCCATGGTTCGCAGCTGCTATGCTTGAGTGTAGCCCCTTTTCAATACTTTCAGCTGCACTGTTATTGTAAGACCTACCATTCCGTCAGTGATAGTTGTGTCCTGAAACCCCATCAAAAATATTCTGACATGCAGCAGTGATAGTGCGTGCAAATGTATTTAATGAAGAAAGGATAAACAAAACAGTAAATAAAAAAATACAGCTTTCCAAAGACCTCAGTTCACTGACTATGGGATTTGAACAGCAAATTCCATACAGCTGCTGAGCTGCTGCCTTGCTACATCTTTCATGGATGAATTTTTATAATGTGACATTGCTACTGTTTTTAATAATGCAAACTAAACCTCATAGGGCCAAATTCTACCCTCAGTTACCCAGTCTCCTTCACTTTATGCATTTTAAAGAAGGTTCCAATCCTGCACATACTCAGGTGACAAGTATTGAAGCCTTAGGCCTGATCCTGCAATTTACTGTGTACAGGTACACTACGCCCTCCATGTAGAGCCCCACTGAAATCAGTGGGGCTCTGTGGGTACAGCAATGTGCCTTCACTATAAATTGCAGATCAGGGCCTAAGATTGTAAGATCCCAGGGCAGGGGATCTGTCACAGTTTATATGTCTATAAAGAGTCATTCACACCTATGATCCTATATAAATAGGAGCGGGAATAATTGGATCTTATTTTAACGTAGTGTTTTTAATCATTTGCTTTTTTCCCCCAACAGAATCGTCCCTCCAGTCTGACTCCTTAAAAAACTCCAGAAGCTTTCTTCAGTTAAATGAGATAGTATTAATAAATAATGAGGAACTTCTGCCATGTCATATAATGGATCAGCATTGGAAGTTCTATGTGGAATGTGAGAATTTTGGATTTTAAGAACGCTTCTGATTTATAACAGTTTTTCTTCATCATCAGTTAAGAATAAAACTGACTTTTTAGAATTAAATTGCCTTGTTCTAGCATTTAAATAGCTTCTTTAGCCTGGTAATATGAATGTAAATCAGATATACTAAAATATTACCCGGTATCTGGATTTAATACAGGAAACTTAATTTGCAGCAGCTGAAGATAATTGTCAATGCTGAACTCATGTTTTGTTTTACTATTGAGACAAGGGAGTGTAGAGGCAAACAAAGTCCTTTCATAAATTTGGCACTCACCTCCGGTCATACTCAGTCCCAGCATAGGTGGGTGCAACTCCATTGACTTCAGTGGCATTGTACCTACTTATACAAGGGTTGAATATGTCCTCACTTGTCCAGATAAAAGCAGCACTGCCAGTCAATTTGCAACTAACGTTACAGGCAGTCTGCTTGAGCACATGCCACCCTAAATGACTGTAAAGGTCCATGTATCAATATAAGCAATTCTGTTAAATAGAAATTAAGATAAGCAGCTTTTAAAATAGCTGATTGCTTTACATGACCTAGAAATATATAAACATTTCTAGAAGGTGGGGGAAGGGGATTGGAGCAAGGTGGCTAAAAGCAAAATTTTATCCATTTGAAGTTCTCAAATGTGGGGTTTCTCTGATTATCAGATGTATTCAATCTGAAATGACAAAGGAAGCACTAGTGCACGGCAGAAAGTGAAACGAGGTCATTTACTGGTAAAATGTATTTATTTTTTAAATCTAACAGCAGCTTCAAAATTTGCCCCAGCTGCCTGAGGGTTTGTATTTGTTTAAATTTTAAAATGTCTGAGTCTTCCCCATTTATACAACATTTGACTACTATCACGAGAGTCATCTGCATTCAAATTGCAGTCTTGCTTTTTCACTCCCTGGATTACAAGAAATAGAAAAGATGCAAAGGTAACACCCAATACTCTTAACTCCAGAGAATGGGACAGAGTGAGAGACCCATGCCAAAACATGGCAGCCTGTAATAGTTATTGGGGTGTGAATTACTGTCTTGAAGGGAAGTTGAATACTGCCTTAGGTAAAAGGAGACTATCAGGGCATGAACTTGATACAGGGGAAGAAGAGGGATGCTTCTAATGGGAAGTGTGTTAATACTGTGCCCTGTCATGCATTAGTAGTCATTGATTGATAAGGCCTTAAAAATTGAAAAAATACGAACTGTCATGAAGCCAAAAAGGTAAAGGCTTTTGAGTGATAAGTATTCAATAAAAGTCAGTTTCCACATAGAAAAGAGAGAAACCATTTTTCTGAGTTGCTACAGTGGAAGAATAGAAAGCAAAATCAGTTTAAAGTAAATGGCTATTCAAATATTGTTCATGTCTTGTTTGGAGAAGGCTACCATCTTATTTAAAAAAATAACCTTTGACAATCAGACCTACTGTATTGCTTGTAAGTTTATTTTGAATGTTTTCTTTGTTATAAGGTATTAAATAAAATTGTTAACAAAAATTGTAAGGTCTTGACAGTAACACTTTGTTATAGTCAGTATAATAACATTGCACATGATGGAAGTGCAGATTGAGAGGTGGTGACAAAAATATTGGATCACACGCTGATTCATAGGTGGGGGGAAAAGGATGTAAAGTATTATTTGTAAACTGCTGGTTTTTTACTCATTCAGTATGTGAACGTAAAAAAGCTTAATTTTCTTTGATTTTTTTTCAGTGTTCACATGTGCACTTTAAGCAAGTAATAGCGTTAAGGTGTCAGATTGACTGCAAGAAATTAATCTGGCCTAACTACTGATTAATAAAATTAGCAAACCTAGTTTTCTACTTTCCAAATCCATACTCTTTTCATAACTTAAAGAATTGGACAAGAGAAGGGTGGTGTCTTTGTAAATGCTTTACTTTTCATTCCATGCTAAAGAAGCACAGTTGATCCTAGACACTATGCAATACATGCGGGATCATCAGACCCCTGTTCTAGTGGGAATCTAATATGGTGCATTACACCCAGGGTGACAGACAGTAGTGGCTAGTCCTCCCGACCCTTCTGCTTTTAGCAACTGGCTGACTCCTCTTATTTAGTAAATGACTTCTCCTCTCCTATGCTCTGAATGAATGTACATCTTATGCTATGCAGAGCAGAGGAGCCAGGAAGGAGAATTCAAAGAGGAGGAATCAGCTGATATCACTGCCACTGTTAATATTTCATGTAAGGAAAAAAGGAGAGATTTGAGGAGCCAGGAAGAGTCATGGAGGCAAAGGGGAGATGAAAATAAGTGAGGAAGAAAGCAAAGGGGATTGACAAAAGAATAAGGAGGGAGAAACAGGAACATAAGAAAGCAGCTGGGGACCAGACAATAGAATACAGATTAATAGATTTTAAGGCCAGAAGGGGACAACTATGGTAGTCTGACCTCCTGAATAACACAGGCCATAGGTTATGAAAGAACTGCATAGGGAAGGGAAGCAAGGGAGAAGTGACAATGGAACAAGAAACAAAAAGGACAGAATAAAATTCACCCAGTGCAGAGGGCCAGCACAAGGGTATTACAGGAAGTGGTGCACTGGCTCTCTGCGCAGGGGTGAATTTTACCCAGAGAGAACAGAGCAAATCAAGAGACATGGGATAGTAAAGACCAGATTTTAGAGGGTATTTACCTGGCTAACAATGCAGACAGATGCCTAGTGGAATTTTCAAAAGCACCTGAGCACCTAAATCCCATAGGTACTAGGCATCTAGGCACTTTTGAAAATCTCACCAGGCATGTCTCTGCATCTTTAGACACCTAAACACCTTTAGAGTTGCTCTGAGACCTCAAGTTTTACTGCAAAAGTACAGTTTGAATGAGCAACAGAGCTAGGAAGGGAGAGTGGATTTTGAATGAGATGAAGATACAAGTGTCACACTGTCTGCAGTGGCTCATGACCATGAGTGCCAACCTCAGGGCAGACTGTCAAAAAGCAGGACAGAAGCCCCAAACTGGTTGTAAATTCTATAATTAGATTTCACCGACACAGTAACAAATGTGAAGTCCTAAAGCACTACAGCAGTCTTACCATGGAGTCACAGACAGACCCCTTGGCCATTCCAGTCTATCTTGCCACCCAGGCAAGATGGATTTTGTGATAGATGATCACTTTACACCAAAAATCACAATAATATTTGGGTTACTAGTCCCAAAGGACTAGTAACTTACCCCAGGTCAATTGTACTCAGATCTCAAACCAAAGACAACACCTGTCACCAATCCTATAATAAACTAACTAAACATTTATAAACTACAAAAAGAAATGAGAATTATTTACAAGGTTAAAACAGGAAGCATAAACCCACAAGTGAGTTACAGCTTTGATTTAAAAAGGTGATATGAACTTCTATAATAAGCAGCTCTATATGTCCTTTAGGGCTGACCTATGCCAGGCAGCATGAGGATCTCTTATGTATGTTTAGAAGTCTTTGCCCCTCAGAGTTCAGACAGCAGGAAGAGACCAAGTTTCTCCTTGTCAGGGATTTTTTTATCCCTTTCACCACAGAATCCAAGCTTGTGGGATGAGATCATGCACAGGTCTCCCCTTCCTGGAGGGAGTTAGGAATGCAGTCAACAAGGTCTGTCTGTGTCCTTTGGTGCTACACAATGCCTCATTTGCCTTCAGTGGGCCATCTTGTGTATAGGATAAGCACTTTACCTTAATTAATGCTTCTTTTCCTGTTTGGTGAGTTGCACAATTACAGAGTTTCAGAGTAACAGCCGTGTTAGTCTGTATTCGCAAAAAGAAAAGGAGGACTTGTGGCACCTTAGAGACTAACCAATTTATTTGAGCATAAGATTTCGTGAGCTACAGTGAGCTTTTACAATTACAGAGGTTTACAATGCAAACACTCAGTATAACTTTAGAGCAGGGGTGGGCAAACTAAGGCCCGTGGGCTGCATCGGCCCATCAGACCTTTAGATCTGGCCCTCGAGCTCCATTGCCCCGCTCTGGTGCTCCAGCTGGGGAGCGAGGTAGGGGACTGGCCCCGCTCCACCCACCTGGCGCTCCCATGTGTTCATGACTTGCGTGATGGGCGTGAGGGCACGCATGTTACTCTGCCTGCACAACCCAAATATGCCTCAGGCGCCATCAGAGCCTGGAATGTGCAAGCCAACTTGCCTGCTACCTGTTGGCTTAGGTGACTTTGATGTTTTAGTAGTGTTAATTTTCCATTGTTGAGGATAAAACAAAGAGTAGTTGGCATGGGAGTGCTCAGTGGCAGTTTTCAAAGTTATGGACTGTTGGGACCTACGTGGGAGGAGATTTCTCAGAGCAGGGAGCTGGTGAATCTCAGTGAGTTCCAATGACCGAACGCTGACCCCCGACAAATCCAGGCTAGAAAAAAAGGGCATGGAAAGGGGGTAAGTTTGGTTTAATTATTGTAATACGTTGTTATGATGGTATATTTATAATAGTAAGTAAAGTTTTATGTTTATTTCCACTAAAACATATCTTTATTATATGAAGTTTATTTGAATATCTCTGAATTGTTAATTTCATGAGCATTCATGGCCCACCATACAATTTCCATACCCAGATGTGGCCCTTGGGCCAAAAAGTTTGCTCGACCCAGCTCCCCAGCGGGAGCACTGAGTGGGGCGGCTCCCTAGCTAGAGCGCTGGAGCAGGGCAAGCCCCTGACCTCACTCCCCACCAGGAATGCTGGACGGGCGCAATGGGGCAAGTCTCCAACCCCACTCCCCAGCTGGAACGCTGAAGTGGGGCAAGCGCCCGACCCTGTTCCCTGGCTGGAGTGCCGGAGTTGGGCAATGGAACTCGAGGGATGGATCAAAAGGTATGATGGGCCAGATGCGGCCCGTTGCCCACCCCTGCTTTAGACCATGGGTAAGGTTGAGATTTTATCACTGTTATTTTTAGTAAAAGTCACAGATAGGATGCAGGCAATATACAATATACAAAAATTCATGGAAGCCCACGAATTGTCTATTACTTTTACAATAAACGATGGGGGCGGGTTGATGGGGGGATGACTGATGCCTGAGCCCCATGGTGGCTGACAGCTGTGGGGCCCTGCTGCTGAAGCTGAAGCTGAAGGGAAAATGTCACAGAGGTCTCTGAAAGTCACAGAATCTGTGATTTCTGTGACCCCCATGACAAAATCTTATCCTTTGCTAGGGGATACCGACATTATTCGTAGGATTAACACGTGCAGCATCCTACAAAGTTTCCATTAAGTCTAAATGCTAAACACATTCTTATAACACTAATTTCTCTTTTAACTATCCTAATCCACAGGTAAAACAGACTGGTGTCCAGGTATGTATTTGTCAGTGTTCTGTGAGACCCTGGGCCTTGGCATGAGCTAGCACCTAGTCTGCCAGCATCACAAGAAGGAACCATGATTCTTTTTGAGAAGAAATGGGCCTAGTTACATTTTCCAGAAAAAAGAAAATGGACACAGAGAGACAGGAAGAGAAGAGAAAAATGAGAGAATACATTGAAGGGAGCGAGCAAACAGTAGATATGAAATGGAAAAGTAAAGAAATGAGAAAATAAACAACAAGGGCTTGATTCTGTGCTGAGTTACATCTCCTGCAAACCCAGTCGCCCCACTGGGTTACACAGGGTATAAATCACTGCAGAGTTTGGCCCTGTAAGTGGTTAGTTGGGTATTTTTACAATTATGTCACAGTGATGAGTTGTTTTTTCCCCCTGATTTTCAAGTCCTAATTTGAGACAGAAGGAAAAACTTAATGATTAAACAATTGAAAGAAATTAAGGGAAGAAAAAATAGAAACAAAAAGGCAGAAGTGATTGATGCCATTTTGCCTTCTTCTTGGAGTGAGGTAGGCTGTCCAGCAGCCAGTCAGCTAGTAATAAACATCCAGGTCCCATATAGTCCAATTTAAATTCCTGTTCCTAATCTACTTATTATGAAATGGATTTGGGGCCCAAATATCTCAGGTTACCTCTCTCTTACCCAGCTTTATTGGCTGAACTATACAGAGGTCGTGCTTAGGTTGGCTACTTGCTCAGAAAACGTCCATAAGTGTATATTAACAATAGCCCCACTAGCAGTTTCTTATTTTTAAGAGCAAAGTATAAATAATTTCTGCAAGCGTCCCTCAGGTTTATCTGGCAAGTATCGTCTCCTTCCTTTTTTATTTCAACAGTGGAGAACTGAGTTATTAAATTTTAAAAAAAATCCAGTGAGACTGTTGGTGGAGGAAGGGGCATGGAGGATACAAAAAGAAAAGAGATCTTTATTTATGCTACCACAGAGTTGTTCAGGGCCTTGGAAACAAGGATGAGAAGTGTCTTCTGTTGCTCATACTTAAATTGTAAGTTCCGTGGTGGAGAGGCAGTCTTTCTGTTTTGTATTTGCCAAGTGCTTTGCACAATGGGATCCTGGTTCATGACTTGGCATTCTGGTAATACAGATAATAATAATAATAAATTTGATACAGTGAATT